ATAGATAGATAGATATGCACCCTATGCACCAAAATAGGGTGAGAAGATGACAAACTTACCCTTGGTCCATCAATACCGGACTCTCCCTGCACACCAGGCGCTCCAGGGCCTCCAACATTTCCCTTTAATGATAATGCAGAAAGATGTTACTGTCATTACGAGGGCAGGTATTAAACTCTATTTTAACAATGAAAAAGGCACTTACAGCTGGTCCAAGTGAACCTCTTCTACCATTCGGTCCCTAATGAGGAATGAGTTAATTAAAAAGAAAAAAGAACTTAATTAACATAAACTTTGGCAAGTAAGTGATCAGAAAAGACAGTGAAAGTGTTTACCCTTCTTCCAGGTTCACCAGGGCCTCCCCTCCTTCCATCCTGACCAGGCTCTCCCTGTCATACAGGACAAACATCCCAGTGAATTAAATTCATGCTGAGAGATATCAAAAAAATAAATAAAACAACAAAACAAATGAACAATATACAAGCGATATTAAGCCTCAAAAATTAAATCGAGTACAGAGATGCAGGATTTATTTCAGCAGCACTATAATTAGCTCAGGGGGGTATTACCGCTGGTCCAGCATCACCAGGGTCTCCTTTGGGTCCTGCCCGGTTGTTATCTTGTCCAGTTGTTCCCTATTAAACAGAAATCACTCTTTCAGTCGCTGCTACATCCAAACACAAATTTGTCTTAAAAAAAACAAAACAAAATAACCATATTTAAACATTGCCTTAATCACAAGAACTGATTAGATTAGATTAGATCATTAGAAAGTAAGTATGTGCAGCTTCACATGAAGCATTAGTAACACTCTCTTCTTACACATTCCTTTCTCACATACTATGTATGCATGCAAAATAAAAGTGATGCACATAAAATCAGTCAAAAACTATGCCATAATAATCAGCTTCTTACAGGGTTTCCTCTGATTCCCTGTTGTCCTATGTCTCCTGTTTGTCCTTTGGCACCTTTGGGACCCTAAAAAACAAAAGAATTTCTCAGCATTAACCATATTCAGTATTAAGAAAAAAAACCCAGATGCATCTAGTCACTCACTCTTCTGCCAGGGTTTCCTCTTTCTCCAGGGGGCCCAGCCACACCACTTTTGCCCTAAAACCAAATCAAAGAAAGCTTTAAAGCTGATAATTTTATATGATTTTGTATGATTAATTGTTAATATATGGAACACATAGCATAAAAGACAAAATACATGACTCACCTCTTCTCCATTGATGCCATCAAGTCCAAGTTCTCCAGCTTCGCCCTGAAATAAGGGGGCAGTAGGTTAGCCTTTTTTTGTCAGAATGTAAGAAAGAAAGAAAGAAAGACAGAAAGAAAGAAACGTACCTTTTCTCCTGAGTATCCACGAGACCCCTAAATAGAAATAAAGAGTGTTAGATTATTGTATTCATGAATAAAACAATATATAACAATTAAACCATACAACTTGAATGGCAGGGTTAATATTAAAGGGTTTACCTTGACACCTCTCTGGCCAGGACATCCTTGGAAACCCTGGGTTCCATTCACACCAGGAGGACCCCGTTCTCCCTGTATTAACAGAACATGACAACAAAATTCACTGACAAAATACCAAAGAACAGAATCTTAAGAAAGGACACAGAGAGGTGATAAATGAAGAAGATAATAGAACAACAACCATAAACAAAACATTCAAACTTACAGGTCCACCTTCATCTCCAGGATGTCCTTGACTTCCTGGCAATCCTGGACCACCCTGACAGACAAAAACAAAACATATATAGCTTTGTAATTAAAAACAAAATCTCCAAGTATAACTGAGGGGTATTTTTTAGGATAAGATACCTTAGATCCAGGCTGTCCAACTCCTCCTCTGTCTCCTCTGTTGCCAGTACATTTGCATGGCACTCCACAGATCTCTCTTTCTGCAATGTTGTCCTGTGCAGTAAAAGAAAGCATTTTCAGTTTATGGGTGTCATAAATGAAAGGCATAGTTTTTATTTATTAATCATCAGTACCCACCAGTTCTTCCAGAAGCTCATAGTCCAAGTCCATGATATTCAGTCTTAAGGGTCTTGTGTACCTGAAGCCACGACCAAATTCTAATAGCGACGCCTCTTCAAATTTGGTTACCCCCTCCAACCCAACCAGAATGAAACTGTTCACTCCTGTTTTCCAAAACGCAACATATTTAAGTTCACTAATTACCTTTGCGATTTCAGGATAGATAATACCTGAGTGCACTTTATGTTTCATCATCTTTTTACCTGACAGCCGAAGCTCCTCAACTCGCCTTTTCATTTCAGCATATGAAGTATCATCAATACCATCAGTCAGATGAATAACAACCTTCAGGGAAAAAAAGGAAAAATACAAGTTTTATACTTTCTTAATTTTCAAGTTTCCAATAGTCTTTTCACTGTATAAACTCTAAAGTTTAAACTCTACAGTTTGGCAAAAAGGTTTTTTAGCCTTGATCTTATTCTTTAATATTAAAAAAATGCAATTAATATACACTGGCAGTGACTAATTCAAGGACAAACCTAAACAACTGACCCCAACAATGAGGGGATCTGGCTGATTTCATGTGGAAATTTTTTACTTTAGCTCCACGAAAGATTCAAGGTCATGGCGTACTAAAGCTATCCTGATGGTATATAGTGTCCCAGATAAAAACCAACAACCTAAAAAAAGCTTTTGGTTTGTTTGTGTTTTTTTGTTTTGTTTTGGGGTTGTTGTTTTTTTTTTTGCTTGTTTTGTTTTGCGTTTTTTTTTTTTTAGTTTTGTCAGCAATGTCTATAGGTCAAACTAACTCAGATCAATAATTACACTAAGTTGCTAAGCCAAAACATGTGACAATACATGACATTTTCAACATCAACTTGAGATATACATTATTTTAGCAGATATTGAAATATTCCTAGAATAGCCCTGACACCGATGCATGTAAACTGCTTGGGCCGTTTCTACTTTAGTATATTTGAGTAACTAACCTTGACAGTGTCATCCTGTCTGACTTTGAATCTGTTGGTGTAAGCTGATATGGTCTTGCCATTGAGCTTAAAGGGGCCACGACTCCCCAAGGCTCTGAAAGCCTCAAATAACTCATCTGGATTTGTTGTGAAGTCCAGCTGGACCGGCTCAGAAGCAGAATCCATGGCCAGCATGCCCACTTGTACAGATGGAATCTGCCCACCGGAGCAGCTAATGGATGCCATTTTGGAAATCCTCTGCAAAATAGCCTCCATCTTGCTCTGGAGGTTGGTCTGAGAACTGAAAATATTCTGGGCGGACACATCAAATCCGACCAACACTTCTATGTTGGAGGCTGTAAAACATAATATTATTTTACCTTAGACACTTTTGGTCACCCCAAATCATGTGACAACCTTTAATCATTTAATTTAATGTATCATTGACAAGCAAGAAACACATAATATTACTTCTCTTACTTTTAGCAAGTTCTTTCGCACCGACACACAGCTTCCCTTTTACTTCATCATCCAGAGTTTCCAGGATTTGTTCATTGAGCTCTGAGAGTTCCTGAACGGTACTTGCTCGAGCCACCATGGAAGGTTCACTTGCCAGGTTTTCCAACTCATTCTGAATGTTGCCCACTCCCACTGCAAAGACTCTCACACCTTTATTCTTCAAGCCAAGCACTGCTGATTTACTGTCATCAGCTGAGTTTCCTCCAGTGACAGTTATAAGAATTTGAGGAGTGCCCTCATCAGCCCTGCTGCCCCTTTGTTTAGAAAAGTAAACATCTTGAATAGTGCGAAGGGCTGCACCGGTGTTCAGTCTGCGTCCACCTTTGTACTCTATTTGACCAAGAGCATTTAGGATATCATCCCTGTTACTGTATGTGTTGAGGTAAAAGCCATCATTGACATCTTCAGCATAATGTGCCAAGCCAATCTGTAGGTTATCTCTCTCAGTGAAGAACAGATCAATTAAGTTGTTGATAAAAACCATGATTTCTTTGAAGTCCTCACGGCCCACATTAATGGAGCCATCCACCAAAAACACTATATCAGCCTTTTTAGATGGAGGCAGGCCTGGTGCTACAAGAAGGGAAATACAGATATGTTAAGATATGTTTATATTGAAAATATTTACCTTGGTTTTTAGTCCAAAACCACAACACGTCCTAATCATTCTAGGTCCTGTAAAATGAGTACATTTTAGTGTTACTTACTTGGAGTGTCATATTCTGGTGTATAAGGAGTAGTCTCACTCAACCTGTTAATAAACTTGTCCTTTATTGTTGGCAGGTTTGAGAACTTAGAAACCTGAATGACATCAGCTGAGCTCTTGGAAATACTCATCAGTTGCCTTGTGTCAGCACGATCAGCACCAATACCAATACAGTTAACTCGGGAGGTCTTGAGCAAAGGTCCATAGAGGGAAACATCTTGGGGTGAACGTCCACCTGTGAGAACCACAAGATGCTGGGAGGCCTCAGTTGGTCGAGCACCAGCAAAAGAGCTTAACTCAAAGCGCAGAACATGATCAATGGCATCAGCCAGGTTTGACGATCGTCCACCCATCTGACGGAGTCTTCTGATAGCAGAGACAACAGCTGCCTTGTTGTTGTGTGAATTGAGCGAAAATTCAGTTTTAACTTTGTTTGCATACTGGATAAGAGCAACACGAATTTTATCGGGGTGTACATCAAGTTGTTCAACAATTTTGTGGATGAAGTCACGGATGTGAGCAATCCCTTCAGAATCTGTATTATCTGAGCCATCAATTAGGAAAATAATGTCCTTTTTCCCGAGATCTAGAATGACTGAAAAAAAAAAAAAAACACAACATAAGGAAAGAAATGCCTCCATAACAGTGAAGGTAAATTATAAAAAGCAAATGATGTAGACCATCAGTAACTGCCTTTAGCACTTTCAGTTGAACTTAATTGGAGTCTTAAATATACAGAATGATTACACACTATTTCTTACCTTGTGGGACACGAGTATAAATTTCAGTGATATCATCGGTGGATATTTTTTTGACTGAATCAATAAGCTGTTTTTCCACCTTTGAAAAATCTCTCAAGCTGTCAACTGTATACACAAGCTCTGGCTTCATGGAAATCTGTCTCAGTTCATCTTGGTCTGCATTTCTTGTACCAATGGCCAGAGGTGCTATCAGGCTTTTCTTGAGTTCATTGGCTGAGCTGGATACATCATCAGTAGATTTGCCAGCCGTAACTAGAATGAGGAATTGAGGCACACGTTCCTCAAGACGGCTTCCGCCTGATCTCTGGTAGACTCTTCTGGCGACAAACTCGAGAGCACGTCCTGTGTTTAGATTATTCCCACCTTTGTTTCGAAGTCTCGACACGGCCTGGAGCACTTCATTTTTTGTTGAGTGTGCATTCAGTGGAAATTCTATCTTTGGATCATCGCTGTACTGAACCACTGAAACTCTGACCTTATCCAGTCCTACATCCAGCTTCTCCACAACTCTTCCTATCATATCACGGATGGAAGGGAATTCACTACGCACTGCTGTTGTGCCATCAATAAGAAATACAACATCCCTTTTTTCTCCTCCTGTGGGTACAGATGGTACTGGTGCTTGAAAGGAATAGAAGCAAAATAACACAGTCTGATTACTAATCCTGAATGGAGAGTTTCTAATAGTGTACACAGATAAATATATATAACATGCAGTATGATTTGGGGTATGATTCTAGCTTTAATACAGTAGTAACACAGTAATAATATAAATGAGGACTGTGTTAACCTGTAGATTTTATTAAATTCAATTTACCTTCATAAGTTGGGAACTCTGGACGCAACCTTCTGATGTCATCATCTGACAGCTCAGTGAGTTTGTTGATTAATTCTTCTTGAACTGTGTACAGGCCAGGAAGGTCATCTATTACGTGGGCGTAATTGGAGATATATGACACCACCCTCAGCTCTGTGGGGTTCACATCCCTGGTCCCAATGCTGAATGGAAGAACTCTAGATTGTTTAAGAGAAGAAGCTGCACGACGGACATCATCTGTAGAAGGCCCACTAGACACAACAATAACAAATTGTGGAACACCATCCTGCTTTCTACTACCCCGTGCTGCTGTCAGAATATCCTGATTGAGAAACTGTAAGGCCTGACCCAGGTTACGTTGTCTTCCACCTAGCTTCCTCAGTCCCTTGATGCCATTCAAAACACCTTCTTTGGTTGTATGTGTGTTTAAATACATATTAGCCTGAGCAGTGTCACCATACTGGACCACACCAACACGGATTTTATTTTCGCCCACATTGAGACTCTCGACAACCCTGCGGATAAACTCCTGGATGATTGGAAATTCCCTTCCAACGCCATCAGATCCATCAACGAGGAACACGACATCCTTCTTGGGGCCCTGTGATGCAGCTGGAAAAGACAGAAGTTGATATTAGGCTCAGTTTCATCAATGTATGACAATAAAATGGTCATATTGGTGGTAAATTGAGCCTACATCTTTTTTACCATGAAGATTCTGGTGCATATTCGAAGAAATAAGTTACTTTTTTTCCTGTTTTTGACAAAAAAGGACAGCGCAACACTAATTAATTACAATAGTCCAGCCTAGGAGTAATAAATTCAATAACTAGTTTGAGACTTGATGTTTTTATTTTTGTTTATTCATTTATTGCACAATTGCTGCAATAAATGTAATGTGCTGAATATGCACATTAAAGGACGTATCCTGGTCAAAAATGATTGGACAAGAACGTCTGATCTCTCTTGTGGCATCTATCACTATAAATGATAGATGCCACTATATAAATCACTGCACAAAAAATGCCTGAGACATTGCCTGCATTTTAATGTAAATAGTTATGTATATATTTATGTTGTTTGCAAAATTTGTACATAAGTTTTTGAAATTAAATTTACATTTGCCTTTCAAGTTATGAAAATGATCTGTTAAACATGTTTGTGGGTATATTCACAGAGACAGCATGATCCTATTTAAGTTTAATTGCAGGACTTTATTGAACAGTCTCAAAGAAGTAAGAACTCAACAGGGCTCTGACTAATTGTCAGCCTGGCTACAGTGGTGAAAAGAAAACTGGAGTTGAATTAGTTTTAAGGATCATTGGCTAACAGTAAGATATCCTGGTTATCCAGAGATCTCTACAGTATAGATAACTTTGTATAGATAGCAATATGTTTTCTAGAGCTTACATGTTACCTGCGTTAAAGTATGTGTGTGTCTGTGAGTTATACCAGGGACTCAATCACTTTTGATTGCAAACTGTCTTCCTCAGAGGAGCCACAGCATTGTAATCAGTTAGAATTCATATGCGTTATTAATCATTTATAACACTTTTAATGGCATTATGAGATAAAAGACATGAGTGAGTCTAGAATTTAGACAACTATTCTGCATGTTGGCACATGGCATATGACAAATTTATTCATTTCATGTATAATGATTTATATTATTAAATGCTTTTAACTATAGTAATTCAAGAAGTTACAAATTCTAAAGACGTAAAAGACGAGAGGTTATTTGGTGAAAATAGCAGTGAAAGAATTGTTGGTTTAATGGATAACAAACTATATAAGGTTGGTGGCTGGGGGATAATAATGAAAACTGCAGCCTCCAAAGACAATTTAAAATGAACTTCAACAATAAAAAGTTAAAAAGAGTGATTGACAAAAAATTAAATATCGTACCTTAAAGCAGATGATTGAAAGTTCTGTGTTCTCACAAAAGTTCAGGCGATAATACTATGTTCTCAAAGTCTTAAAGACAATAGCCTGACTAACTTCTATTTAAGAAAGACAAAAGCATGCTTACAACTGGTTTGAAATGCACCAGAAAATCATATTCGTTTATTATATTTTTCTCACTGTAACTGAAATAAGTCAATTAACTTTTGGAGCCAGCAATAGGATGTGTCTGACAACGTACCAATTACGGTTGGTAATTCTGGGGTGACTTCAATAACTGCAAACTCCAAAGAGGACTCAAGTTGCTGTTGCACTTTGGGTAGGTCAGTAAGTTCAGACACAGATAGAGCATAACTGGGCTCGCCAGTTATGGTCTGAAGTTCTCTGGGGTCAGAGCCTCGGGTTCCAAT